AACCCGGAGATCGCCCGCGCGGGCGAAAAACGGCAGGAAAAGGCGCATTGGAACCGGGAGAGGAAACTGAAGACTACTTGGAAGCGGTTGACGGGTAAAACGCTTCAGCCCCGTTTCCTAAACGGGACAGAAGCGTTTGTGTCTGAAATTACAAATATATTCCGGTAGGGAACCAGTTCTAAACCGGTTCCGTCTGAAATGACAGACCAGAAACCGTTTGGGAACCGTTCCTCTTCCGGATTATATCGTCTGTCTGAAATTCCTCAAGGTTACTTTTACAACCATTGTATCCAGGCCAGCTACGGTGAGAGGCCCGGATATCTCACAGGAAGAGGGCTAAGGTGATGGCAGTGCTTTGTGCTCAGCTGGGCAGTGGGAAGAATGATGAGAAAGAAGCCCAAGGAAAAACCACTGCTTTGGATATAAGAAGAGTCCTGCTGCATCAGAGAGCCAGTCTGGTGTAGTGGTTAGGAGCACGGACTCTAATCTGGGAGAACCGGGTTTGATTTCCCCACTCCTTCACATGCAGTTGCTGGCGTGACCTTGGGTTAGTTACAAGTTCTTTCAGAGTTGTTCTCTCAAGAGCAGTCCTCAAAAGAGCTCTCTCAGGATGTCTGTTGTGGGGAGGACATGGGAAAGGAGATTGTAAGCCGCTCTGAGACTCCTTTGTGTAGTGAAGGGCGGGGTATAAATCCAATCTTCTCCTCCTCCTCTCCCCCCCCCCATTTCACACCATGAGCAACCAGTTGCCCTGGAGGGCCAATAAATAGTGCACAAAGGCCAAGGCCTTCCCTCATGTTGCCTCCTAGTTCTGGTATTCAGAGGGTTGCTGCCTCTGAACTTAGAGGTTCCCATTAGCCACTGTGACTCATAACTGTTTATCCAGGAATATGCCTAACCCCCCTTTAAGTGCGCGGACTCTAATCTGGGAGAACTGGGTTTGATTTCCCCACTCCTCCACTTGCAGCTCTTGATGATCTTGGGCAAGCCATAGTTCTGTCAGGGCTGTTCTCTCAAGGACAATTCTGAAAAGAGCTGAAAGCTTCATGCTGTAGCTGATTACACATTGGAGATTTGCGTCCATTCTTGTATCGAATTGTTATTGTTCCCAATGCATGTGAGTAAAAGTATGGAAACCACAGCAACTTAAAGGGAACACCCTGATGAAGGATGAACTTTGAAACATTGTAATCAAACATCCGGACACATCACATTATTATATTAGTTCTCCATTATTCTGTGGATTTTTCTATTGTAGTATATTATTACACAAGTTCTTCATTGTTTCCATTTTGTATTTTTCTTATCTGGCTACTTTGTATTCGCTACTTTCTATTACATGTTCTTTAGTGTTTTGGCAATTTGCAAGTAGTGAGTCTGTTTACTACACTTGTTTTTGCCATCTGTTATTGGATTATTACACTAGAGTGTAGTGAATGTCATTGAATGCTGTCCTGGAGGAAAAGCATCCTGAGCTCTGGGACGGTTAGGCAGGGGGCTTGGTGTGGAATGGGGGGAGCCCCATCTCTCTCTTTTTCTGCTCCAAAGTGGTGTTGAGTTGGGATCCAGCCACAGTTCCTCGTGCCAATTGCATTTGCAGTTTCCAGTATCCTTTCACTTGTTTGCGCCTCCAACCATCGTTCCTGTTTCCAAGATGGGGACTGGAGACTGTGGCTTGTGCAAGACCAAACAGTGAGCCTGTGACCGAGGCTGGGCTTGAACCCAGGTCTGAAGGGTCCGGGTCCCCTTGTCCTGCCGCTGGACCGCTGTGCTGGCCTCTCTCTGCATGCATAACTCCCCTTCTCCAACAGGCAGCATGGCCAAGCGCCTGAACCAGATTGGGGTGGAGAACACAGAAGAGAACCGGCGGCTTTACCGGCAGCTCCTCTTCAGCGCTGACAGCCGGATCCAGAATTGCATCGGCGGCGTCATCTTCTTCCACGAGACCATGTACCAGAAGGCGGATGACGACACACCTTTTGTCGAGATGATCAAGGACAAAGACATTGTTGTGGGCATCAAGGTATGATTTGGCTGGAAGTGAGGCTCGCTCGGGACGTTGCTGGGTTTGGCAGCCTCCCATCTGGAGCTGGGAACAGCCCGTTTTGGTTTCGCGTGAATCAAACTCGCAACTTTATTCTCGTAATGTTTTGGGGAGTTTTTTTACAATGGGAAATGTACACATCAGTTGACACAAAACCAATGCTAATGGCATTAAAACGGCCTCGAGAGAAACAGCCACTTGGGCTCATAAAGCTGCCTTATACTGGATCAGATAACGGGTCCATCAGAGTCGGTACTGTCTAGTCCAGGGGTGGCCAAACTGTGGCTTGGGAGCTGCATGTGGCTCTTTCACGGATATTGTGCGGCTCCCAGCAGGGTGGCTGGGGAAGCAAAGGGGAGGCGTGACTCCCTGATTGGTCTTCCCTTCCCCAGCCAGTGTTCCCCTCCCTGGGTAGGCTTGGGGTGGGTGGGTGGGGAGCAGAGAAAGAAAGCAACTTTAACTTTAAATGCAAATAAATATCATTAGCAAACAAATAAATATCATTGGACAAATAAATGTCAATATCTATATCCGTTTTTTACCCCTTTTGCTTTTATTTTTGGCAGTCCCGTTTAATGTTCATACAAAGCAAAGGTGCATATTTTCCAATAAAAATGGGTATGTAATATTTGTTCATGTCTTGAGGCTCTCAAACATCTGACATTTGTTCTATGTGGCTCTTACGTCAAGCAAGTTTGGCCACCCCTGGTCTAGTCTGACTGGCAGAGGCTCTCCAGGGTCTCACGTGGAGGTCTTTCACACCACCAGTTTGGTGTCATGGTTAAGTGCGCGGACTCTAATCTGGGAGAACACTTACACCTGCTGGATGACCTTGGGCAAGCCATAGTTCTGGCACAGCTGTTCTTGAAAAAGAGCCATTTCTGTCAGAGCTCTCTCAGCCCCACCTACCTCCCAGGGTGTCTGTTGTGGGGAGGGGAAGGGAAAGGAGTTTGTAAGCTGCTCTGATACACCTTTGGGTAGTGAAGGGCGGGGTGTAAATCCAATCTCTTCTCCTTCTTCTTCACCTGCTGCCTGGTGCTTTTAACTGAAGATGCTGGGGATTGAACCTGGGACCTTCTGCAGGCCAAGGAGAGGCTCTGCCACTGAGCTATAGCTCAGGTTCCAGGAATACCTGGGACAAAAAGATGTATTGGTGGAAATGGCTCACAATGCTCTGATTCTCCACCAGAAAGGAATGGGAAGGGGTCCTCTGCATGCATCCTACTGCCCGCTTTGGAAGAAACTGGCAGAGGCACAGCCCCCTGCTCCTTTGCCCACCTGGCACGATTGATTCCTCAGCACCAGACTCCCTGTCTGTCCTCTGGTGCCTTTCGTGGCCACGATACCCCTCCTCAGTGTCGAGCCAAGGACCAAAGAGCTGGCAGGAGAGGTGGTTGTCCTCAGTGTCTCGTTGTTTCCTTAACAGGTGGACAAGGGCGTTGTGCCCCTTGCTGGGACTGATGGAGAAACCACAACTCAAGGTACATTCTCTTTGGCATTTGTCTTCCAAATGGAATGGGGAGGAGGAAACAAGAAGGCCCCCCGAAGCTGGAGGAGGGGCAGGGAAGGGAAAGGGATGCATGCGCAAGCACGCCCTTGTCTGAACCTGAGGATTAAGAGATTTCCTTGAACCAGAGAGAGATGTGGGTGCTGTGGGAAGGGGCTCTTGGCAGAAGGGGCAACAACAGGGAACATGGAAAGGAGGAGACCTTGGGGAAGCAGTAGAGGTGTTGCGGGTGGAAGACTTGGTGGAGTCTGGGCTGGCATTTGGGATGGCACCCATCACACTCAGCACTACGGGGTGTGCATTTGGATCTATCTGAGCCAAAAATATACCCGAAAAATATTTTGGCTTCCCAAATGTATTCGGGTTTTCTCAAGAAAACCCGGGGAGGGGGAATTCCAAGAAAATCCTGGATATATTTGGGGATTTCAGGTAGATCTGAAAACAGTAGAGAGGCGGGAGCAGATTGCTCCCGCCTCTCAACTGTTTGTCAGGCAACCGGATGCAGTCCCTTTAAACTGGGTTTAAACTGGGATATAGGAGAAGCCAAGCCAGGACTGGGCTGCTATTTTTTTTTACCAGCATTTTCCAGTTTTCGTCTATTCGACCCCCAAAATTTTGGGATTTCCCTAAAATCCTGGATCTGAGTACCATATCAGTATTTGGCTCTGGGATTTTTCAGGAATCCCAGGTCCAATAGACCCAAATCAAAAAAAATACCAGTTTTAAAAAAAATTGCACACCCCTACTCAGCACTCAAGCAGTGGCTCAAGTGGTTAAGATGCTGAACTGCAGGCTGTGGAAGGTCAGTAGTTCAGCAGTTCAAGACCCGAGTGTGCCGCGTGACGGAGTGAGCTCCCGTCTCTAGTTCCAGCTCCTGCCAACCTAGCAGTTCGAAAGCAAGAGATTGCAAGTAGATAAATAGGGACCACTTCAGTGGGAAGGTAACAGCATTCCGTGCGCCTTGGTGTTTAGTCATGCCAGCCACATGACCACGGAAACGTCTTCGGACAGCACTGGCTCTTCGGCTTTGAAACGGAGATGAGCACCGCAACCCTAGAGTCGGACTCAACTGGCTTTCGAGCAAGAAAACCTTTACCTTTACTCAGCACTCAGAGGCTTGTGCTTCAGTGAGGATAAGATGGGAGGCCTGTGGGTAAGAGCTGTGTCTTCCTCCGCCAGGCTTGGATGGCTTATCTGAACGCTGTGCTCAGTACAAGAAGGATGGAGCCGACTTTGCCAAGTGGCGCTGTGTCCTGAAGATCAGTGAGAACACTCCTTCCTCCCTGGCCATCATAGAGAATGCCAACGTGTTGGCACGCTATGCAAGCATCTGTCAACAGGTGGGCAGGGCAGGGCTTCTCCAGGGTCCCCAAGTGTTCTTAGCGGGGAAGGGTAGTTAGGGAAGCTGGGTGGGAGACATTCCTTTCCGTAGGCAGCTATGGAGAGTCAAACAAGCTGCTTGGAACAATGAGGGACGGTCTCCTCTGCCTCATCGGTCCCTTTGGCTTTTCTCCTACAGAATGGCATAGTCCCGATTGTCGAGCCAGAGATCTTGCCGGATGGGGACCACGACTTGAAGCGCTGCCAATATGTGACCGAGAAGGTGAAGCCTGTTCTGGGTGCATGTGGGGGAACTATTTTTTTGGGGGGGTGGGGGTTCCAAGAGAACCTTGGGAGGGATGTGGGAAGGGTACCAGAGTATTGTGGAGCAGGTGTCTCCAATCTCCTTGTTGCCTGCAGGACGCCTTTGGAATTCTGACGTGGTTTGATGGGCACAGCCACAGAATGGCTGATACAAAATGGCTGCTGCAGGTGACGGAGCCGGCCATACAACGGCTGCTGCAGTTTAGCCTTCAGTCACACAGGGAAGGTCTTTGTGCTGTGGTAGCAGCAGCTGCTGCTGAAGCAACATTCTTTTTTAAAAATCTGCACAGCCCATCAAATCTCCCATGGCCCATCAGAAGCCATGCTATGTAAAAGCCCCACCCACGTTCTAAGCACACTTGGCAGGCACTATGGTGCCCCTGGGCACCATGTTGGAGATCGCTAGTGCAGAGTCTCTGTACCCGTTCTCACGGGCCATTAAAGAAAATAAACATGTAGCTTTACAGTGAAACCTCTCTTACTCAGAGAATGTACATGGAGCCTCACTGGAAAGGTGCAGCATTGATGCCAGGTACTGTTAGCTTTAACTGAAATACTCTGCAGGGCCTCCTGTTGGGTGTTACAAGTTAAAACACTTCAGTATTTACAGAGTTAATGATGTTTGTTAAGTCACATGTTTGTTTGTAACCAATCTGTTTAGACAATAGAGTGCCCGGGAACTTTGGAGCTAATTCGCTAGTCTGATTGGAAACCAAGGTGTCAAGTATTTAGCATATTGGTTTCTCCTCCGGTTCTTTGTTCTGACCAGAGGAGGAGACGCCATTTGTCTCTTCCCGTTTTTACCTTTAGCTGCAAGAACAGGTTGCACACTCACTTTGAGGAGGAGGGGCTTGGGTCTGGTGCTTCCAGTTTAGGGAAAGGGGGGGTCACTAGCAGGCTTCTGTGCCCTCTGTGGGGGGGGATTTTGGAGCCTTCTTGGTTCTGCTTGGAGGCCACAGTTCTGACCACAGCCCCCACGCCTCTTTCTAGGTACTGGCTGCTGTGTACAAAGCACTCAGTGACCATCATATCTACCTGGAGGGCACATTGCTGAAACCCAACATGGTGACGCCCGGCCACGCCTGCCCCACCAAGTACAGCCCTGAAGAGATTGCCATGGCAACAGTGACTGCTCTGCGTCGGACTGTACCACCTGCTGTTCCAGGTACTGCGTCTCCCATGTCTTCCATCTCCCCTCCTCACTATTCACCAGTCATGGCTGGGGTGTCAAATGCCCTCGCCTATACTGAGCATGGAAACACTGAGCCAGTTTTGCCATCACAACGTCTCTTAGATGTGGGGCTTGCAACATATTGATGGACTTTGAACTTGTTCATTTTTTGAAGCCATTTGGGCATGTTCACCACTGGAATATTCTTTTATGGGTGCCGTGGTGAAAGAAAATGTAAAAGAGACCTTTTTTTTTAAGTTGTATTTTTTATTTGAAAGAACGTGCAACAATACAGAAAATACTGTATAAGAACATTTTTTACATTTTAGTTGAAATAGAGCAACAAATGTTTTGCAATAAACAATGATACCGTATATGCAATAGGAAGAAAGAAACAATTGAACAAAGAGAACTGTAAGGTTCTGTAAATTTGTAAACAGGAGTGAATACACCTTAAGAACAGTGGGATGCCTGCAATAGTACGTAGGATATATGTTCCAATTAATAGGTCAGGCAAAAAACAAAGGTTATAAATGCTAAATAGACCTAACTCTGTGTGTATCGGTATGAAATATGTAGGTAAACCCAAGATACAATAAGGAGCAATAAATAGTAAAAGTAAGGATCACCACCTCAAATCAGAGAAGGAGGATATTAATTGACAGAGACATACCAACCTCATGACCACTGCTGCAGCTGAGACCATCCAGAGGGTATGAATCCACTCCGTGTTAGATATTCTAGTATAGGAGACCATTTCTTCACAAAGGTGGATTTCACCGGTTTGAGCAGGGAAGTAAAAGAGACCTTTTTAATAACAGAAAGCTTCATTAGTAGCAGCCCGAACTGGCCTGTTCTCATCAGAGCTCAGAAGTGAAGCAGGATTGGTACTTGGATGGGAGACTGTGGCGTCCTGCTTGTTGCGGAGACTGTTTCTCCTTTAAAACACACTCAGTGTACTTGAACTTAGGAGATTTCTGCTGCCACCAGGAATTAAAAAATTCTAAATCTCTTGGTAGAATGACCCAGTGTCTGGGCAGAGGACTGTGTGGCCCTGAGGAAGGACTGTTCTGATTGCTGGGATAAGTTTAAACAAATAATGATTTATTTATTAAAGAACAAAATAGGTTTCTGGGTATTTTTGAACTGTTGTTGAAGAAAGAAAATATAACTGACAAGGCTTGGTGTCACACACAGTCACTCATACACCAAAACTCAACTCTGACAGGCTTATCTCTCTCTCTCTCATATATAGCCACACAGGCTGAACTCTCTTGTTCATATATAGCCACACAGGCTGAACTCCCTCTCTCATATAACCACAAAGGCTAAACTCTCTCCAACTGCTTCCTCTGTCATACAGACTCTTACAAAAACTGAACACACTCGTCCCTTCAAGAACACAGAATCACCTCATAGACATCTCTCCTCCCACACTCCGTCATCCACCAATCGCATCACACTTGTCTCCCTCTATCACTCTCCTTACATTACTGCAGTCAAACTAAACATTTAAAGAAACACACACACCAAAACATGAAATCATCACAGAGACCACCAAGAAAGACTTTGCAGAAGAAGGTGATGGCCAGCCACTTCTGCTTCTCACTTGCCTTGAAAACCCCCATGAGGTGGAACTTCATGGGGCTGCCGTGAGCCAGTTGCAACCCAATGGCACACTTTACTTTATTGAACCATGTTTCTTTGTGTTTGAGAGAAACAGCTTCTTCCCCCTTTGAATCCTAAAGGAGGCATCTTCAGCCAGGTCTCTCTGTGTGTATGTGTGTGTATTATTTTTGTGTGTGGGCATGCCCATGCCTGGAAGTCATGGCGACCTCTGATGACTCCTATTGGGGCATGGAGGATGTTCAGAGGAGGTTTTCAGACAGAGGCCAGATGACCATCTGACAGCAGTGCTTAGGCAGATCATGAGAAGGGAGGGCAGGAAGGGTTGCATCAGTGCTTAGTTCTTGTGGCCCTTTCTTACATGCTCAGGGAAATGCCAATTGCCACTTCGGGTTCAGGAAGCAATTTTCTCCAGGCCAGTTTGGCCCAGGACTCTGGGAGGGTTCCTCCCCCCTCTTCTGGGCATAGAGCAGGGGATACTGGGGGCATGGGGAGAGGGATTTGTGAATTTCCTGCATTGTGCAGGGGGTTGGACTAGATGACCCTGGAGGTCCCTTCCAACTCTATGATTCTATGATAGCCTGCCTCTGCCTCCTGGCCCTGGTGTTCTTTCGAGGTCTCCCATCCAAATACTTTCCAGGGTTGGCCCTGCTTAGCTTCCAAGATCTGACGAGATCGGGCTTGCCCGGGCTATCCAGGTGGAGTTCTCTATGTATATTTTGATAAAAAAATCTTTGCTATTCTGACTTCAGATTGTCATTGAAAACCTACACGGCTGTGTATTCAGACTTCACGTTCAGCAGTCTCTGTGTGTTTCGCAGCTGGGCGTGACCATTCCCCCGCCTCTCCATTTCAGGTGTCACCTTCCTGTCTGGGGGGCAGAGTGAGGAAGAGGCCTCCATCAACCTGAATGCCATCAACAACTGCCCCTTGCCTCGGCCCTGGGCCCTGACCTTCTCCTACGGCCGAGCCCTGCAAGCCTCGGCCCTCAACGCTTGGCGTGGCCAGCGGGAGAATGAGAACATGGCGACGGAGGAGTTCATCAAACGGGCAGAGGTTAGGGTGTTCCCCCTGGAGGAGTGGCAGATCCTCGGTCAGCGAGACCCACAGGGATCTGACGAAAGACTGTCCCCCCCCCTTCTGTGTTCTAGGTGAATGGTTTAGCCGCTCTTGGCCAGTACGAAGGCAGCGGAGATGGGTCTGGTTCGGCCGGGCGATCCCTCTACATTGCCGACCACGCATACTGAGCTTTCCCCGGGGCCTTCCCACGGAGAGACCCCCCCACTCTGCTACCTTCCATTCCAGTCACACCCAGCTTTTCGACTGTAGCTGCAACAGGAGCTAAGTAGCCGTGGAGTGTCCAGCACCAGAGACGCGATGCATGGGAGACGCTTGGAAGAAGAGGAGCCGGCGGCACCCGTTTCTCGTGGAATCTTGCTGTCGGGAAACGAGAGGCCAGGCCAACCTGAATAGGGCTGCTGAGCGCGGTCACTGAGAAGCAGTTTGAAACGAGGGGAAGCGCTAGGAAGCTGCTAAGTGTTATTTGAATGTGGGGACCAGCCAAATGGGGCAAAGAGGAGATAGATGCAGGGTCAGTCCCATTGCAGGGGCTCTCCTACACCGTTGGAGAGGAAGGTTCGGGATGGCGGGGGCCCTGTCACCTTGCCAGCACTCTGCTGTCTGTTCCCACCTGCCCACCTCCTGCCTCTCTCTCTCTCCCTCTCCCTTCCCAGCCGGGATTGACTGTGCACTTGAGTGTGAGCTGTAGCTTTGCAGGGCTGGTTTGCTTGCTCCTTGCCTGCCCCCCCTTACCCGGCCACACCCACGTGCTTGTGGGCAAGACAGTCGGCGTGTGGGGCAGGGACCGGCCTGTGTGTGTGTCGCTGTGTGTTTTGTGAGAGCTGTGTGCACCTGGTGATGTACTAATTAGACCACCAACTAATAAAAACAGTAGATGGGTGATTTTTCCCGCTGCTGCTGCTGCTGCTACTCCTGCTTTCACTGTGCAATTACTTCAGAATAACTTGTGATTCCACATCCGCGGCTGCCTCTTTCTGGTCAGGGCCAGCCCTGCTCTGCAACTCGATTAGCGATAGCCATGTGCGGAACAGGGGATGCCTTCAAACAAGCAGAGAAGGAAGTTTGATTCACAGCTGTTGTTCTTTCTGGCTGACAACAGTCGGGTAGCAATCGTTGCTGTGTCATTCCCAGAACGGTACAGAAGCCGTCTTCTTCTCCTCTGCCCTTCTGGGGTGTTATGGAACAGGAACAGGCCTGCTTTGACTCCACCCCTCCTTGGCATTCCTAACTCCTGGAGGGGGTTACTTCTTTCTTTCACTAAGGGTAACTCACTGCCTCCAGCTGCCCTTTTGTGGCGGTTTCCTGCTAGGAGGTATAGGGCTCCCAGCTCCCCTTCCCATCCTGAGGCCCTGCCTCTATGTCCTCCGTTAACCCAGAGCCTGGTTACCTTGGGGACCAATTACAACTTCCGGGCTCCCCTGGAGAAATAGCCGCGTGCCCACTGACTGCTTTCCTCCCAACCCGGCAGCCCCCCTTGCACTAGCATGTCCGAGACGGTGGGGGAATCTAGGTGGCACGGAGACTGAGAACCCACCTCCAAAGTAAAAAAAAAAAATTTGTTGAAAAGAAAACATTTACAAGCATCCTTAAGCACAGCCCTAGATTGGCAAACGGGCTTCAGAAGAAAATAAATCCTCGTTCCCTTTTCTAGACATACCCTAACTGATGTTAAAATTAGGGCAGGCACTACTGGTCTTAAAAAGTTACAAGGTTCCTATCCATGCCCCATTTCCTGGGAGACCGCATGGTCAGCAAAAGAGACTGACCCTCGCTCAGAAGTCTGTTCCCTTCGAAGAATCAACCCCCCTCTCGGAGTTGGCAAAGCCACGGAGGGGTGGGCAGAGCAGGCTCTGCAAGTCAAGGCAGGCCTCTTCCGCCATATGGGGCATGGACCCCGTGCTATTTATAAGCCGGCTTATCTTCCAAAGATCTGTGCTTTTTGACTAAGGCAATAACTGCAACCCTCCTGCAGATCCTTCTGCGGTCACATTCATAGCCCTCGGACTCCTTTGCTTCCCTCCGCACAGGAGGATGAAGAAGAACAAGAGAAGAGATTGGATTTATGCCCCGCCCTTCACTACCCAGAGGAGTCTCAGAGCAGCTTACAAACTCCTTCCCCTTCCCCTCCCCACAACAGAAACCCTGTGAGGTAGGGGGGGCTGAGAGAGCTCTGACAGAAACCTTTTTAGAACAGCTGTGCCAGAACTATGGCTTGCCCAAGGTCATCAAGCAGGTGCAAGTGGAGGAGTGGGGAATCAAACCCGGTTCTCCCAGATTAGAGTCTGCGCACTTAACCACTACACCAAACTGGCTCTCAAGGACTGTTTGCAAATCAGCCCCTTGGTCTTGCATTTTTACATCATTCTGTTTTCCCATGATGAAAATCTTCAAAATCTGCTCAATAGTCCCGGTTCTTGAACAATGTTGCAACGGACTCAGGGGGACCCCATCTGCAGGCTGTTCGAGGCAAGAGGTGAGCAGAGGTGGTTTGCCATTACCTCCCTGTGCGTAGCAAGCAACCCATATTCCTTGGTGGTCTCTTATCCAAGTACTAACCATAGCCTGTTTAGCTTTTCAGCTCTCTGACAATTTTGAGCTTAAGTTGGGCTATTCAGGCTGCTGACCCAATCCTTAGTGCTGTTTCTATATCCATTGAGTAGAAATGGTTTAAAAGAAACAAATGGCTGGATAACGCCAGCCACAAAAGTAGAGGGAACACCAAGGGGCAAGCAAAGGAAGCAACATTTACTTGTCAAACCCTAGTCCATGTAAGGGACTGGTATCTTATGTGCAAGTTTGGCTCTGGGGCAGGGCTACCAACCAGCTGGGCCTGCCTGGTGTTTAGAGGCATTTTTTTGGCCAGATGATTTCTTAGTCAAGGTAGACTCAATTTTTCAAGCATCCCAGAGATAGGTAGCTGCTCCCCCCAGCAGAGTCCTGGCCAGGGGTCGTTTCGTAGAAAAAGAGCTAGGGGGACTCATTAGCATAACTCATTAGCATATGCCACACCCCCTGATAAGGCCACACCCCCTGACATCACCGGAAGTGTGTCATAAGGCCACACACTCCGCCCCCAACGGTCCCGGCTGCCGCCGGCCTTGCAGCTCCACTGCCGAGCCCCATGAGGGGCCCGGCGGTGGACCTGCAAGGCCAGCGGGAGTGCAAGGAAGCCCCGCGAAGGCCCTCCCTGGCCCCAGGCAGGCAGGGGTGGGGAGAGGCAGGGAGGAAGCAACTTACCCTCCCTCTTCTCCTGCCTCCTCCTGGCTGAATGAGGGCCGGAAGCAGGGGGTGGGGCTTCGTCATGTGCCCCGCCCCCCGTACCTCACCCGGGGGAACTGCGATCCCCCGCGATCCCCCCCGAAATGACCTCTGGTCCTGGCCCAGCATAGTTGGATTCCTGTTGCAAACGCAGCAGCAGATTTAATGGCGTCAGTGAAGCAGAAACAAAACCCTAACATACACCCCTTCGCAGCACAGCTTGCTGCTATTGATTGCGCTGCTATCGATTGTGCTCCAAAAGCAGGAGTCGATGCACAATGCCTGCCTAATGATCTCACGGCATCCGACACACGTACGCTCCTGCACGGAATACGCAGCTGGCAGCCAGAAAGAGAATACAACACCTCCCATGGGGCTCCAGACAGGAAGCCTGTTATTAAAAAAAGGCTCCAATCCATACACCCAGTTCCCAGAAGGTTGCAGGCATTTATACTGATCTGTGTGACACAACCAGCATAGCCATGCGGTCACTTCGGTGATTACTCATGGTACAATGGGAGGTGGAAAGAGATGGATCTGAGATGCACCCTGGGAGGCACCCACGAGGCAAAGCTCAGCTTTTGGGGGGGTTCTGACAGCAGCAGGGATATCAGATGGAGGACGAGAGGGGTGGCAGGACCTGAATCCAAGCCCTCATCCAGCAAGTGACATTCTAAGCACACAATATTCTCGTGTCATCTAAAAGGCTAGCTAGTTTATTGTGGCAAGAGTTTCCATAAGCACACAGATCACTACTAGCCCTACTTATTGGTCTGCTCATGCCCTGGGATGTTTCATTTTGCCTCACTCCCTGCTCCCTCTCCATCCGGTGGAGTGTCAGACACTGTCAGCCTCCTCCCCCCCCCCCCCCCCCCCCCCCCCCCCCCCGCCTTCCACTGCATGGGGCCCAAGTGTGGCACTTGTTGCCACATCAGTAGCAGCCCAAGTGGGGAAGGAAGACATTCCCCTTCAGCTTCTTGCTAAGGCCCCACTGAATAAGAACATAAGAAGAGCTCTGCTGGAACAGACCAATGGTCCATCTGGTCCAGCATCTTCTCTCACAGTGGCCAACCAGTTCCTCTGGACAGCCAACAACAACAAGGCATAGAGGCGGAGGCCTTCCCCTGATGTTGCCTCCTGGCTCTGGGATTCAGAGGATTGGTGTCTCTGAATGTGGAGATTCCCCTCAGTCAACATGGCTAGTAGCCATTGATACACTTATCCTCCACGAATCTATCTAATCTCTTTTTAAAGCTGTTTATTCCTGTGGCCATCGCTACATCCTCTGGCAGCAAATTCCACATTTTAATCACTCTGTGTAAATTAGTAAGTAAGTAGTAGTCAGTAGTAAAAGAGGTAAGGCCCTGGGCAGGATGCAGACGGTCAGTTGTGCTGGAGACCCCTGCAGCAATCTGTCTTCCCAAGATGCATGCTGCTTCAGGGACAAGCTGGCCACTGTGACCCATGCTCAGACTGCATCCAAGTTAGATTGCTGTAATACAGTTTAGGTGGGGCTGCCTCTGCAAATGGACCAGACACTTCAGCTGGTAGAAAATGCAGCAGCCACATTACTATCAGGTGCGAGATAGACTGGCCGTCCATCTATTTCCAGGCACAATTCAAAGTCCTGGTTCTTACCTTTAAGTCCCTAAAATGACTTGGGGCCAGGATACCTGAGCCCTCCAGTTAAGATCTCCCTGACAAGTCTTGTTTTCAGTGCCTGCCTTCAGAGGGGAGGTGGGAGGAGACCAGAGGCAGGGCTTTTTCGGCAGTGGCACCTCATCTGTGGACTTTCCTCTCCCTTGAGGCACCCTGGAACCTCCCTACCTTTTTTTTTTAAGACTCTAGGACAAAACAGTTCTGTTTACCCAGGCTGTTAATAAAGGTACTGGTCTTTCACAACATTTCGTGGTCTGTTTTTAGTCTGAAAACTCTAGATGGGGTTTTAAATGCTGGAACTTTTACCATGTTTTATGTTTTTATTATGTATGCCTCGTGCAGGCTCCCTGGAGAGGAAGCATAGAAATGTACCAAATAAATGAATGGGGACAGCTCAGGGGAATGACCAGTTAGTGATGGTTTCCTTTCTGCTCCCCCTCCTGTGATCAAATGCCCAGCTTCTACAGAACAACATCAGTTGCCGGGGGAGATCTCACAGCAACCCATAGGGATGCCCACGTTTGTTCCTACAGGGCCCCTATGCCTGAGAAAACTATCTGAAAGACAGAGAGGCAGCAAAAAATTCAGGTGGGTAACCCTGTTGGTCTGAAGCAGCAGAACAAAGTTTGCGTCCAGTGGCACCTTTAAGACCAACACAGTTTAATTCTGGGTATAAACTTTCCTGTGCATGCACACTTCTTCAGACAAAACTGAAATAAAATCTCGACAACTAATTACAGGAAAAAAGGGGAGGGGCAGCCGTTAGGAGAGGCTACTCAGAGCCCAGATGCATGTGCAGAGCAGAAACTGGATCGGGCAGCCGGTAAGATCAATGGAGAGCAGCAAATCAGCAGGTAAATGCAAGAGGTAACAAAAAGGCGTGAGAATGAAGCTAGAGTCCAGCAGTACCCCCACGGCAAACCAAGCTCAACCCTGTGAACGTGGGAGAGGCAACAAGAACAGCTTTCCCCCCATCACTGCCTCTCCGCGCTGCTCGACAGAAGAGCCTTGCTAGACCTTGAAGGTAGCTATCCTGCAGAAGCGCCGCAAGTTCTGGGCTGCCCCGCCACAGCAAGCGCCTTCGCACTGGCCAGGGGCTCCGTCGGAGCTGGAGGCATCCCCCTGCCCGCTTCTGTACAGAGGAACCATTCAGACGTGCACCCCCTTTCCCGGCTCCGCCCACTGCCGGGCCGCGGGAATCAGACCTCTTTAAAGTGCCCCACTGCGCATGAGCAAGTCCCCGAGCGCCTGCGCTGCTCTTTATACTCATTCATGGCTAAGCTCCGCCCAATCAGCCGCCCGCTAGCGAAACGATTGGTCTGTGACTCAGTGACGCTCGGAGACTCTGCCCCTCGCACAGGCTAATCTCCAGGGGGAAAGATGGCGGCCTCCGCCGATGCGATGGATGCGGCAGGTGCGAAGGGAGAACTGATCCCCATCCGGGTCCCGGGAGCGGGGAGGGAATTTAGGCGGCCCATCCTCTCCCCGCCAGAGCAAGGACCCAGGCGTCCTTATGCCTGCCGAGGAGTGAATTCGGATTGAATTCGGTTTCTCGTTCAGTCTGAATGGGCGATGAGATCTCTGTGTGGTGCGTTTTGCCTGTTTTCAGGAGTCCGGCTCCTGCACTGCCTTTGTATTTTATGAGCATATAAGAACTGCCATGCTGCTGGATCAGACTAAGATGGTTCCATCTGGTCATGCGCTGATGCTCAGAAGCCGGAACACAGAGGCTAAAGGCTCCTCCTGCTGTTGGCCCGCAGAATATGAGTGTCAGAGGTAGACAGCCTCTGAACACAGTGGTCTCATTTAGCCATTGTGGCTAATTGCCCTTGGTGGTCTCATTTAGCCATTGTGGCTAATTGCCCTTTTTCATGCATTTGACCATCCTTCGTTTAAAACCTTCTCAGACCTCCTAGTCTACCCCCCTGAAGAGCATTATGATAATCTGATAAAAGAACTTGCTTGTGGTCCCCAGACCGAGAGATATCCAGCTGTCCTTGACCAGAACCTTTAGTGCCTTGGCCCCAACCTGGTGGAACTCTGCCGAGTAACATCCGTGTCCTGTGGGATCTGATGCAGTTCTGCAGGGCCTGTAATGCAGGGATGTTCCACCCCTCCCCCCTCCCCCCCCCAGGCAGTAGCACAACTGGAAATTTCGACCACCATCTGTTTAATTTTGAATTGGTATTAGAGTTTTATTGTAACTTATAAATGTTTTTAACTGTACGATATGTTTTTCCAGTGTGTCTTTGTACACTGCCCTGAGCCCTGCTTCAGGGAATGGTCAGTATAAAAATAGAATTTAATTAGTTAATTAATACGATCTGTCCCCTCTTGTTCTCACTTGCCGTGGCAGCCTCTTGTGGGGTCGCCATGAATTGGCCACACTTGATAGTACTTTACCCAGAAGCATACAAGATATGCCCACCCACTGTTTTCCCCCACTGTATCAAAAAAGTTGCAGGATATTTAGGCTTCCTTAGTAGGGAAGGTGTTCCAGACTCTTCGATCACTTTGCTCTCTTTTGCTCCACAGTATCCTTGTTGAGATAGGGTGACCAGAACTGGACATGGTATTCCAAATGGGGCCAACAGCACCAGCTGTTTTATTTTCACCCCTTTTCCTGATAACCCTCAGCATGAAGCTTGCCTTTTTTTTTACTGCCGCTGGACACACTTGATAGTACCTTACCCAGAAGCACACAAGATATGCCCATCCACTGTTTTCCCCCACTGTATCAAAAAAGTTGCAGGATATTTAGGCTTTCTTAGTAGGGAAGGTGTTCCAGACTCTTCGATCACTTTGCTGTCTTTTGCTCCACAGTATCCTTGTTGAGATAGGGTGGCCAGAACTGGACATGGTATTCCAAATGGGGCCAACAGCACCAGCTGTTTTATTTTCACCCCTTTTCCTGATAACCCTCAGCATGAAGCTTGCCTTTTTTTTACTGCTGCTGGACACAGAGTTGACATTTTCATCTAGCTGTCCACTACAAACCAAAGATCTTTTCCTGGTTAGGAATCTAGTTGGGATCTAGGCCAAAATGTGTCCGAAATGTCATTTGCCATGGTGTTGCTCACTTGCTCAGTTTGGGGAGAAGCCTCTTAGGGCTCTTCAGGATCCGCTTTGGATCTATATAATTGGGTACCTTCTACAAACTTGGTTCCTTATGAATCAGAAATTCCCCAAACGTCACTGTTTCCTTTCCTGGCACTCTGAGGAGTCAGGCTTGTGTAGGAAAGCCGCTCTAAGCCAGCCTCACCAGGAAGGCCACGTTGGTTGCAGTTGCAGCCAGCATTTACTATTAATTTAATGCAGCTGATTTTCAAAGTGATGGCTAAGATGCTGTACATGTTCATGGATACTTTTAAGTCCTGCACAATTTTGTATATTTTCCTGATTTGTTAGGTGCTTTGATTAAACACCTGATGCCATACAGTAGACCTCCAGTGTTGCTAGATGAAATTGACAGATTCAGGCTGAAAAGCTGATTTTTACATGCTGTATAAGTATATAGTATCCACTGCCACAAGACTTGGATGTCACAGTGCCTCCATGTTCAGATGCAGTCTACCACTGAATTGGATGCTGGGCTCAAACAATGGCGGCGGGAGAGCTGTTGGCTGAGATGGTCTGCTCCGGCAAGGCCCTTCTGGTGTCTGGAGGTCTCTGCTCACGAAGGAGTTGCTTCTGTGTGTTGCAATGTTTTGACAGCCCCCCTCTTCTTTCCTTCCTTTGTGTCTGCCCAGAAAAGGCAAGAGGGAAATACGCTGCCCTCTCCTTTGCTACCATTGCTGTTGTGGTGGGACTGCCCCTTTGGTGGAAAACAACGGAGACCAACCGGGCCTCGCTGCCTTACTCCGAGATCGCCAACTTGGACACTCTGCTGGTTAGAGCAAGCCTGTCTCTTCCCTTGGGGGCCAGGGCCACAGCAAAGCCCCCCACCCAACCAACCAGGGAGACCCTGCTGGGCAGCAGCCTGTTCATGGTGGTGGTGGTGGGGAGGACATGTGGGCAGGAAGAACAGCCTTGCGGTGGTGCTTCTGCCAAGGGCTGTGCATGCCCATGGCGAGGGGGCGTATGTGTGGGGCTAGGTGAGTGGGAGGGTGCTGCTAACTTTGTGGGTTCTGATTCAGTTCCAGCTGACTGTGCCGATCTCGGTTGTGTTTGCCAAAGGGACTCTGCTGGGGGACCAGGAGAGGAAGCTCCCCTTTAAAGAGGATCAGGAGGCAGAGACTCCCTTAAACCGTAAGCTGGGGGGGGGGAGCTCTGTCCATTCTTCCAATGCGTGCTTCTCTCAGTCACCGTGCACTTGATGCCTGTGTAGCCTGGGGAGCCAAGTCTGGTGTAGTGGTTAAGTGCACGGACTCTGATCTGGGAGAATCGGGTTTGATTCCCCACTCCTCTCCTTGCACCTGCTGGATGACCTTGGGCAAGCCATAGCTCTGTCAGAGCTGTTCTCTCAGCCCCACCTACCTTACAGAGTGTCTGTTGTGGGGAGGGGAAGGGAAAGGAGCTCGTCAGGGTGGGGTATAAATCCAATCTCTTCTTCTTCTTCTAGAGTTGTGAAAGTGAGAACTGAAGTTGTTAGAAGAGAACGGTTAGATTCGAGTCCAATAGCACCTTAGAGACCAACAAGAGTTTGAGAGTATGGGCTTTGGAGAGGTGAAGGGAACTGTTATTCCCTGAAATTGTTGTTGGTCCCTTAAGGTGCTCCTGGACGCAAAGCAAATTGTTCTACTGCAGACCAGTGTGGCTGCCCTCTAAAATTTGCTCAAAGGGGAATGTGGGGCAAGATGAAAGTCTTCCCTGATTTGTGGGATGCGAGGGCCCGATTTGCACTTGCAAGTTGCAGCCTGAGGTTGCTGCCATCCAGAATGCAAAAGCAGAGAGATCACAGGATCGGTGGTCAAACTAAGTATACACACTGTGAAAAATAATGGAAATTGAAATTTATATAAACAACCAGGGCTATTTTGGGGCAGGAACGCACAGGAACGGAGTTCCGTCTGGCTCCCAAGTTGGCCACGCCCAGCAGGAACTCATTAGCATAATAGGTCACGCCCAACAGCAGGAACGCATTGGAGTAGGATTGGCTACAATTAAGGGTGTATGGCCTAACACGCAAAGGAGTTCCTGCTAAAAAAAAAAAAGCCCTGGGTTTTGTCAACAAACAAGGTAAAGAGAATAAGAAGCAAAAGGTAGGTGTGGCTGGATGACCACACTTCTGGTAATATGGGGGTGTGGCCTAATAGGTGAATGAGCTGTGCTGTCAGGGGTGTGGCCTAATGTGCTAATGAGTTCCTGCTGTTGGGTATGGCGTATTATGCTAATGAGTTCCCGCTGGGCTTTTTCTACAAAAAAAGCCCTGTAAACAACCAAATTTATGGAATGCAATAGATCTCTCAATTTCTATGTATCCAAAATACAACCGTCTTTTAGTGTCCCTTATAAACTGCTGGTACAGTCACATTCATTCATTCAACAAGTGAACTCCATATATTTTAACCATCAAGTGTCCTTGCTGTGATTTGACCTTGTCGAAAACTGGAAGCGACGGAGAAAAGTTTTGCCAATTATTGCTGGTTTGGAAACCTAGGGCTGACCGCCCACCCTTAATTGGATAAATCTTTGATGCTTGTATTTGTGAGTATCTTGACAAACTAAGTAGAGAGACGAGTCTGCAGTTTTGATTAATAAATTTCTTTAACCATGTTTAAGTATATTTTTGCCTCTCAAACGTTTTATTCGCTAGCACGATTTCCCAACGACGAAGCCTGTGTGAAACAGGCATTATAGCTGGCCTGTTGGAGTCGTGTCTGTAAGCCTTGCAGAAGCACAGAACAGAAGATAAGTCGGCTGACGACCTCCGTGGCTTCCAGTTTGCAACAAGGTCAGATCACAGCAGGGACACTTGATGGTTGAAATATATGGAGTTCTCTTGTTGAATGAATGGATGTGACGGTACCAGCAGTTTATAAGGGACACCAAAAGATTGTTGAATTTTTGATACATAGAAATTGAGAGATCTATTGCATTACCTAAATTTAGTTGTTGCAATTTTCGTTATTTTTCACAGTGTGTATCCTTAAGTTTGTCATTCAGGGATGAGCAGTTCTGTGTGTAGCTGGGCTGCCGGCACTCTGGGGCTTGTCGAATGGAAAGGGGCCTCCTTTTCTTCCTTTTGAGGGACAAAGTTAGTTTCTACTGATCCCCATTCCAGTGAGATGTTGACTGTGGCACATGTATAAGATGGGGGGTGGGTATGGCTAAAGGTGGCTCAGATTTTGATGGAAGACCAACTTATCTGCTCTTTCTCATTCCAGCGAAGACCAGCGTGACAGCCCACTATCAGATATCCTATCGGCGTGCCACTCCCCAGGAAGAACAGGTGCTGTCCCAGGTCTCTGGACAAGGTAGAAGCTCTGCTGGACATACCAGAGGGAAGATAGTCTGTGGAAGAGGGAGGGTGCAACTGGTCCTTCTGTCTCTAACCAGGCAAACACATGACACTAGATACACTTAGATCATAGTGCTCCAGGACTAGAAGGTGCAACATCGCCTTCTGAATGTTGAATCCAGGGGACAGCTCCCACCTTTTGTTTATTTAGTTTATTCAGTTATGATCTTTTTTTGCCCACCTTTCTCCCACAAAGCGTTCAAAGCAGCAAATGAACATCAGGTTAAAAAAAATACATAAACTCAGCAATTCAGAAGAAACAACTGCCAGAGAATGTGTAACAAATCTACTAGCCAAATGGTTTCTGAAACTGTTCATATGAGCCAATTGGGTGTCGTGGTTAAGAGTACAGACTCTAATCTGGGAGAGCCAGGTTTGATTCCCCACTCCTCCACATGCAGCTGCTGGTGTGACCTTGGGTCAGTCACAAGTTCTTTTAGAGCTGTTCTCTCAGGAGCAGTTCTCGAAAGAGCTCTCTCAGCCCCACCTACCTCACAGAGTGTCTGTTTTGGGGAGGGGAAAGGAAAGGAGATTGTAAGCTGCTCTGAGACTCCGAGTGAAGGGCGGGGTATAATTCCAATCTCCTCTTCTTCTTGAATTTCCAGAAGTATCAGGCTGTCCACTGTCAGAGACAGAATCCAGGGCTAAGTTCAAGTTAACTCAGGCTCCAGAGTTCAGCATTTCCTGCTTCTTTGAGGCACACTTTTCTCCCTAACAGCCATGGGAAGCAAGAGATTGGCACTACCGTGATGGCTGTGCTTCCACTGCGCTTGATGCCAGCTTGGTGGAGGGGGTAGTGTCAGAGAGAATTTCTGGGCCACAGGGAAGGAAGACCCTCTGGGTTAGCTGGGAGACTGGCCCCTATGCAGGGTGTGTGTTTTGTGTGTGCGTGTGCTGCAGGGATCCTGAAAATAGGAGGGGTGTCCTTCCAAGAGGGCCCCCCCAAAGGTCAGTGTGGGCATTCTTAGTGAGACTTTGGACTTTTCTTTCTTCTTTTCTGGACAGGCACAGGTGAAGTGGCGCTGCCAGCACAAGAGGCCCCGGCAGGCTCGCTCACCATCTATGTGATACCTTCCAGTTCTCGTCTTTTGCCACAGGTATGCCACACACACACACCCAGCCTGCTTCTAGCAACGGGAACTACATTCTGTATTCAGCTATGGGAGTCATGGGGCATGGCCTGAAAGGGACCCTGTGAGGGGCCACTTGGAAGAGAAATCGATGTGCTTGTCCATTCACAAGTGTTTCCTCGGATTGCTAAGTGGAGCCTCCATGTTCAAAGGCAGTATGCGAGGGGCAGTCACCAAGGGAGGGCTGCTACCTTCGTGTCCTGCATGTGAGCTGTCGGGGGTGTGTGTGTCTTTGCTTTCTGTATGATCTTGAAAGGTGTTCTGCCGGGAAGCTATTGCAGAGCGTTGTCAGTTTTATGAGAAAGCACATTGCCTTCCCTCCTTGACCTGGGAAGAGTTCTTGAATGTGGGGATTGTGTCTGGTACGTGATCTGCAGGTGGTGCTGTTGGGGCTCAGAGTGTTTTGTTGCACTTAGAAGACAGGGCAAAGCTGCCCCCTGTACTTGGCTTGCTTCCTCCACGCCTTTGCATTGTGTGTATTCACTTCAATGCACATTTATTTGTGTCTCATGCACTCATTCCATCAAGCATCAGAAAAGAAAATCTTGGAAGTTACACGGGAGCTACTCTATCAATCAGCTCTGCATGACTTGGGCCAACTGCAGAGTCACGGTGCGTCTTTCTTTTTGCAGGAGACGACTATGTACGTCGGCAAGCGCCGCAGTGCCGTCATTCGGGCCCCGCAAGGTGCAGCGGATGTGCTGGCAGCCATGGGTGCACAAATACAGCAGGTGACCCGGGTCATGTCCTTCTCAGCCGAGTCCATCACAGGGGCCCTCTCTGACCGCATGCCCATCCTCCAGCCGGGTACTGAGTGGAAGCGGCCCTTCAAATCCAGCTTAGGTAGGGCTTAAGATGGCTCTTCAGGAGAAGGAGCAGACCTTGTATTGCAGGGCTGCAAAGCTCAAAATCTTGGGATTGGGTGGCTGTTGCAGCTTTGGGGGCTTTGCCCTTCCAGCTTCCCCCCCCCCCCCCCCCCCCACGGCTCACATTCACTCCCCAACATCGTTCTGGTTGCATAGTCAACAAATTTTGGATGTTGGACTTTGACATTCACCAGTATTTTAAGCCTGGAGGAGATTGGATTTCCAAAGCTGTCTGTTCTGCGTTGGATGCAGACTGAATTGACAGTTTCCAACAGTTTCCTTTTCTCACTGCAGACCCCCTCATATCATTCCTCTTGTCCCTGTTCCCCCCCCCCCCCCGGACCGTGCATGTCAACGGCTGGTAAGTGGGAGAAGAGAGGCAAGACGATTCTGTCCCACTGATGGGAAAATGTTTCCTTTTGATCCAACCCTTGCTTTAGTGTAGTCTCGTCCTCATGTAGCACACGCAAGCACGCCCATTATTGTTTTTGCTCCAGTCTCTCTTTTGTCATGCAGAGTTATTCCTATTCAAATGCATGTGTGTCCCCCCCTTCTCAAATTATTTTTCTCTTGATAGCCTGTAAATGTATATAGAATTGTAAGCAATGGCAGATGCAACCAAAGCAAACGGAAACAGAAGATGTGCAGAATCAGACAGAAAGCCATCGGTTCATCACTGGTTTTGTGCAACTCCCTAACATTGAACCTAAGAGAAGCCAATGTTGGATCAGGCCAATGGCCCATCCAGTCCAGCACTCTGTCACACAGTGGCCAGAAATACCAGTGCCATCAGGAGGTCCACCAGTGGGGCCAGGACATTAGAAGCCCTCCCACTGTTGCCCCCCCCAAGCACCAAGAATACAGAGCATCACCTGCTCCAGAGTTCCTATCTATACCTTGTGGCTAGGGTGTGCCAGGCCAGGACTTTTCTGACTGCATCTAATCCCTGCCCAAATCAGCCCGCAGAAGATACCCAAAGACCGACATCTGAAACATCACATCCAGCAACTGAGCAGCAAATTAAAAATGCAAGGGAAATCTCAGATGTTTCCAAATTATGAATTTGAGGAGCGGGGGGAGGGGGGATACCATTTGTTCCTCCGGGGCAAGGCTGGCCATTCCAGTGGAGGTGGCTACTGACCTGGGCCACTCTGGTCCCCCTAGCTCGGGGTTGCCTGCCCTGAGGGGCCCTCAGTGTGGTGCCCACGACACCTGCTGACACCTTTCCTGGCGCTGCCGAGTGTTTCTAGGAAGTGAACATAAGAGATGCCAATGTTGGATCACGCCAATGGCCTATCCAGTGCAACACTCTGTCACACAGTGGCCAAAAATACCAGGTGCCATCAGGAGGCCAGGACACTAGGAGCCCTCACACTATTGGCCCCCCAAGTACCAAGAATACAGAGCATCAGTTGCCCCAGCCTGAGAGTTCCTATCTATACCTTGTGGCTAACAGCCACTGATGGACTTCTGCTCCATATGCTTATCTAATTCCCGCTTGAAGCTGTCCATGCTTGTAGCTGCCACCACCTCCTGTGGCAGTGGATTCCATGTGTGAATCACTCTGGCTGAAGAAGTGCTTCCTTTTATCTGTTCTAACCCGGCTGCTCAGCAATTTCATGGAGAGCCCACGAGTTCTTGTAATGTGAGAAAGGGAGAAAAGTAACTCTTTCTCTACTTGGGAAGTGGGCAGGGCTGGGTGCTTCTGCCCGGCAGGTACTGATCGGCAGGGTTTTAAAGAGTTGTTTCAGCAGCAGCTGGCATCATGGCGCAAGGATATTCACAATGTGACTGAACGTAAGCTGCTTGAATGCAAGAAAATAGTTTAAAATAATATATTCATTTTAAAAGGCATCCTGCTAAACAGGACTGCAGCCTGAAGTTTTGAAGAGTTACTGTTGGAGTCATCCACGATGTTAGTTTGTGGTCGGCTTCCCCTCCTGCAGCCATTTTGTGGTTGCGCCCACCACCCTGTGTCAGAATATCAAAGGTGTCTGCAGGCTCAAAAAGGTTGGGGACCTCGGTCCAGGGTCTCTCCCAGTTTTGTGTCTGGAGCTCCCGGGGACTGAACTTTGGCCGTTCTGCATGCCAAGCCGGTGGTCGACCCCTTCAACATAGGGAGGGGCCGGCAGCGTGACCAGGGGGCTGCGTCACCCCCGGTCCTTCATCAGGGACAAGAGAAAGAGCTGCTGCTTCCTTCCAACGCAGGGTA